ATCTAAGGATCCCTCTTTTTTTCTTTTTTAGAGAGGGTTGGGAGAGACAAGGGGACAGGGAAAGAGAATCTCAAGCAGGCATGGAGCCAGATGCGAGGCTCGATTTCACAACCCTGTGATCATGACCTGGGCCAAAGTCAAGAGTCAGATGTTTAACCTGACTGAGACACCCAGCTGCCCCCATAAGGATCCCTCTTGAGGCCCTTTTATTGCCACACCCACTGTCCCTCCCCATCCCTAACCCCCTGGCAACCACTTACTCTCCATCTCTAAAATCTTCTTATTTCCAGAATGTTAAGGGACACCTGGGTGGTTCAGTTGGTTAAGCGTCTGCCTTCAGCCAAGGTCATGATCCCAGGGCTCTAGGATCAAGTCCCACATTGAGCTCCCTGCTCTGACGGGATCTTGCTTCACCCCCTGCCTGCCACTCCCCGTTTGTGCATTCTCCCTCATGCTCTCTCTCTCTGACAAATAAATAAAATCTTTAAAAAAAAAAATCTCTGCCTTAAAAAAAAAAGTAAATGGAATCATACAATATGTAAGCTTAAGCTAATGGGATTGGCTCTTCTCACTCAGCATAATGCTTTTGTCATTCATCTGAGTTGTTGCATGCATCAATAGTTTGTTCCATTGTAAAGGTGAGTAGTAGTTCATGGTATGGGTGTACCACTCCTTGAAGGATATCTAGTTGTTTCCAGTTGTTTGCTATTACAAGTAAAGGTGCTATGGACATTCAGGTACAGGCCTTAGTGTGAACATAATTCTCATTTCTCTGTGATAAATGCCCAAGAGCACAATGGCAGTTGCATGTTTAGTTTTTTTAAGAGACTGCCAAATGATTTTCCAGAGTGTCTGTACTGTTTTACATGTCCACCACCAGTGTATGAGTGATAACATTTCTCTGCATCTTCACCAGCATTTGGTGTTGTCACTCTTTTTCATTTTAGTTATTCTCATAGATATGTAGTATTATTTCCTCATGGTCTTAATTTGTATTGCCCTAATGGCTAATGATGTTGAGCATCTTTCCATGTGTATATTTGCCATCTGTGTATCTTCTTTGGCAAAGTGTCTGTGTCTTCTGCCCATTTTCTAATTGGATTGTTTGAGTTCTTTTACTGTTGTATATTTGAGAGTTCTTTATATATTTTAGATGCAAGTCCTTTCTTAGATGATGGCTTATAAATGTTTTCTCCCAGCCTGTAGTTTGTTTCTTCATTCTCTTAACAGGGTCTTTCACAAAGTTTTTAATTTTCATAGTATTTATCAATTTTATGGATCATGCTTTTGGTGTCAAGAATGCTTTGCCTAGCTCTAGAGCCCCAAGATTTTCTCTTACGTTTTTTCCTAAGCTTTTTATAGTTTTATATTTTACATTTAAGTCTGTGGTCTATTTTAAGTTAATTTTTATATATAAGGTGTGAGGTTTAGACAGAGATTCATTTTCTTGCCTATGGATGTCCAATTGCGCTCCAACGCCATTTGTTCTTCCTTCATTCAGCTGCTTTTGCAACTTTTTCAAAAAGCAGTTGTCTGTACTTATGTGGGCCTGTTTTTAGGTTTTCTGTTTTTTTCCCATTGATCTTTATGTGTGTCCCTCTGCCAGTATCACTCAGTTTTGATTAATGTAGCTACATAGTAGACCTTAAAATTGAGTAGAATGATTCCTCCCACTTATCTTGTCAAGATAGTCTGAGCTATTCTAGGGCCCATGCCTTTCTGTACTAACTTTAGGATAAGCTTGTGTATGTCAATAAAAACTTGCTGGGAGTTGCATTAAGCCTATAGATCATTAAACCTATAATGGGGAAAATTGACATTTTTACTATGAACACGGTATCTCCGTTTATAAGTCTTACTTGAATTCTTTCATCATCATTTTGTAATTTTCAGCATGTAGATCCTGAACATGTTTTTGCTGTTTCTTTTCTGGAGGAGGGGGGTGATTATAAATTGTGTTCTGCTCTTAGTTTTGATTTTCAAATATTCATTGTTAGTATATAGAAATGCAGTTTATTTTTGTGTGTTGATCTTTTATGCGGTCACCTTGCTGAACTCATTGTTCTTGGAGGTTTTTTTGTAGATTTCTTGGGAATTTCAAGGTAGACTGTCATGTCATCTGCAAAAAGGGAAGTTTTATTCTTTTCTTTCTAATCTTTATATTTTTTCTTCTTTCTTATTTATTGCTTTATTGCAATGGCTAGAACTTCAGTGTTATGTTATTTGAGAGTGGTGAGAAAGAACATCCTTGCCATGTTCCCAGTCTGAGGCAAAGTATTCAATCTTTCATTATTTTTAATGTTATTTTCATTCAAATTTTGACTTTATTTACTGGATTTGTAACTAATAGGTGTTCTGAAAACTTACTTAGTTAATGGTTGTGAAGGACTTAGGACAGTGCCTGTCACATAGTAAGTGCTCAGTAAATATTAGTTATTGTATCATTATTGCTCCGTATATATGAGCAGCCGTGTTCCAAAACTCAGTATTTAAGGTCCCAAGAACATACCACCTAAACCATATGGGAATACAATCCATATTTGCCACTTTTACCTGTTTGGTGTCTTCCCAGTTAAAGGGAAACAAACTTAATTTGTAAGACTTTTACCTCTATTCCCATTCCAGTAAACCTTAAAAGGGGGAAAAAAGTCATAGCTCAGCTTTTGTTCCCTCCTTTCCTACTCCCAGGTCTCTCCCTCCCACTTAGCTTCAGAAATATCCTCTAGTCAACTCAGGTCTTTCATTATTAAGTATATTATTGTGGGGTTTTTTTTAAGGTTTTTATTTATTTATTTGACATAGAGAGGGCGCACACAAGCAGGGGGAGCAACTGACAGAGGGAGAGGGAGAAGCAGGCTCCCTGCTGAGCAGAGAGGCCGACGTGGGGCTCGATCCCAGGACCTGGAGATCATGACCCAAGCCGAAGGCAGACACTTAACCAACTGAGCCTCCCAGGCGCCCCTCTTAAGTATTTTGTTAACTGTAGGTTTTTGTAGGTGTTCTTTATGAAGCTCAAGAGGTTCCCTTCTTTTCCTAGTTTGTTGAGAGTTTTTATCATGAATGGATTTGCATGTTGGACTTTGTCAGATGCATTTTCTGCATCAGTTGGTAGGCTCATATGATTTTTCTTAGCTTATTGATATGGTAGGGATTTGTGAATAGTGAACCGGCCTTGCATACCAACAGTGAGTCCTGGGGTGTATGATTCTTTTTATTATATATTTTTTAATTCAACTTGTTAGTACTTTGTTGAGCATTTGCGCATCCAAGTTCATGGGAAATGCATGTCTGTAGTTTTGTTTTTTATGCTCTCTTTTGTCTGGCTTTGATATATATGAGGCAATCCTGGCCTCATAAAATGAGTTAGGAAATGTTTCTTCCTCTCCTGTTTTCTGGAAATAACTGTAAATTGGTGTTAATTCTTCTTTAAGTGTTTGGTAGCATTCTCCACTGAGATCATCTGGCTCTGGAGAGTTCTTGTTTTGGATGCTTAGGTATGAATTTTGTTACTGTAGTAGAACTCTTTAGATTATTTTATTTTGGCTGAGTTGTTAGTTTGTGGTTTTTGAAGAATTGGTCTGTTCTAAGTTGTTGAAGTTATTGTTAGCATTCTCTCACTATCCTTCCAGTGGCAATACATGTGTTGTAATATCCCATGGCATTCTTGATATTGGTGATTGGTGTCTTCTCTCTTTTTGTGTTTGCCAATCTTGCTAGAAGTTTGTCAATTTTATTCATTTTTTGAAAGAACCAGTTTTTTAATTTAATTTTCTCTCTCATTTTCCTATTTTTCTCTTTTATTGATTTTTATTCTTTATTATTTCCTTACTTCAGCCTTGCTTCTGGTTTAATTTGCTCTTCTTCTAGGTTCTTGAGGTCAGAATTTTGATTATTGATTTCTTTCCTCTTTTCCAATATAAGCATTTAGCGCTATGAAGTTTCCTTTCAACAGTATTTTAGCCATATCCTCACATAGTTTTTTCTAAGATTTTTACATTTATTTTAAAGAGAGAGTGCACAAGTTGGGGGAGGGACAGAAGGAGAGGGAGAGAATCCCAGGCAGATGACCTGCTGAGCTGGGAGCCCAATGCAGGGCTCAATCTCACAACCCTGAGGTATGACCTGAGCCGAAATCAAGAGTCGGCCACTCAACCAACTGATCCACCCAGGCACCTCCATCCCACATATTTTAATATGTTAGGTATTTAGTTTTAGTCAGTGCTTTGTATTTTTTTTTTTTATGTCTTCCTCTTTGACCTGAGGGTTATCTGGAATTGGGTTGCTTAATTTCCATGTATTTAGAGACTTCTTTCTATTTTGATGTTTAGTATGATTCCATATGGTCAGAGAACATACTCTGTACAGTTTCAGTTTTTTAAGATTTGCTTTTTGGCCCAGGATATGGCTCATTTTAAAACACCAGATTTTTAGGAATTCTAGAGCACCACCCACTCATCGCTACCTCATCCTGCCTCAACACCTCAGCTACAGCTCACAATGCTTGGCTGTCACAGGCAGACAAAAAGAGGCCCAGCGCAGCCTTCTGACAGTTCTGAGTTGGTGACAGAACTGGACCTTGAGCCCCCAAGAGCCCTGCCTACCTGGGCCAGGAACCTGGTTCATCTCCCTAAGAGCCTTGGCCATCCGTGACCCTTCCCATGACACGTGACGAACACACAATGAGACTGAGGATAGGGCTGGGCAGGTACGGAGGAGCAGCCAGTCCAGGCCCTGTGCCCCTGCACCGTCACCTCTTTCTAATGGGGTGGTGAGCGAGGAGGGGCAACTCAGATGCCTAAGAAGCTTAGGCCCAAATCTCGGCGACGACACCGGGCTGTTGCCCCCCTCACGCAGGTCCGCCGGGCGGCCCATTCCCACCCTTGCAAACAGTCCAAGCGCAAAGCCAAGAGCTGTCAGGGCCGCCGTTGCCGCCGCCACAACAGTGTGTACGGGGTTGCCAGCCGGGTGCCAGCAGTTGCCACCTCGTCTCCTTCCTACAGGACCTACAAGAACAGTGAGGAACTTCGGTCTCGCATTGTGTCTGGAATCATCACACCTATCCATGAGCCCTGGGACAAGGCTAGCGTCAGCAGTCCCCACCAGGAGTTTCCACCTGCCACTGCCAGAGAGGTGGACCCCCTCCGAATTCAGCCACAGCACCCACACACGAGCCGGCAGCCTCCCTGGTGAGTACAGAGCCCCCAGCGGGCAGCCAGCCCGTGCTTCTACCAGATTCTAGCCATAGCCATCCTGCCACCTGGCCCCCTCTCTGGCCTCCATGTGTCTGCAACAGATTGTCAGAGTCTTGGTGGATGGAGACGTAAGTGGAGCAGTGAGTTCTGGTGCGACTCCTAGTCACCCTAACTACCCAGCTTCTTCGGGTTGCAGGGACCAGGGCTAGGCATTTCAGGGAAATGCAGATGCAGAAGTACCTTCCCAGAGGGGATGTAGGCCAACTGTCTTGCCTGTTTCATTTCATTCATGGTAGTCACCTAACCTCGTTGACAACTTCAGAACTTTTCCAAAACAGCATGGGGTATGAGCATGTCTCATCCAGGATCTTAGCAGGTTAGGGTGGCAGCATCTACGACAGGAGACTCTCGTGCTCTGAGGAAAGAGACAAGAACCAGTGAAAGACCTTAGTCTCTGGCTGAGACAGCGCTTCCCAATGTGGAGTCCCCAGTGTGGTAGTGATTGGGGCCTGGGGGTTCACTGTGGGGCCATAATAAGCACTCAGTAAGTGTTCACTACCACTGTTATTTTATCCTGTTTTGCAGTTTTATATCTTTGATTAGTTAAAAAAAAATAGGAAATCAATTTATTACAATAAATAACAATTGGTACGTCTCTTTGGCACTCTTCGGAAATCCTATGGGGAGGTTGAATAATAAAAAGTAGTTGAAGGGTTGGGAACAGCTTGTCTGATCTAACCTTATTTTATAGACAGGAACAGAGGTAAGATGACCTGCCTGAGGTCACCAGCCACTAATAAAGAGGCAGGGCCAGGGCTGCAGTTCAAGTGTCAAATCCCACTGCAGTGCTCTGCTGTGATGTAGCCAGAATATGGTGGCGAGACTGAAGAACAAGCACTGGACAGCAATCAAGGGGGTTGGGGTGGATTTTTACACTTTAAGTAGATAGTAATTCTCAGCTCTTTCAGACTCACTGCCCATGTCAAAACAAATATTCTGTGAAATCTCGTTTACTTCTCTTGAGATGAAATTCACAGATAATCTAATTGAATGCACACTTCAAAAGGAATCACTATAAAGTCCTAACTATAATATAAATGAGAAATAGAGAGTAATTAGTAAGATAATGTCTATTTGATTGTGTAGATGACTGAGCACAGTTACACTGGAAAATTTAGTCAGACATTTGCACTTGTATATGGAATTATGTTGAATTTCACAATAACAGAAGCTGGCATATACAGATGTATTGGAGCAAAACTCAGATAGTATAAACTGTATTGCTGTTACTAACATGACTTTTCAGAAATGATGACCAGTTCTTAGGAGAATGGCAAACAAAATATTAGATGGACAGTGTCTCATTAGATTTGGGTAATTTATGAAGGCTTTACGCCTCCCTGAATACCTAACAAGACTTTCGAAAGTTGTGTGGGATGCAGGTCATTCTTCTAATGTAGAATTCATTATGTAGAACGTGCAGAGTCTCTGGCATCTGCCTCAAGTGCTGTGAGGACCCTCCAACCAGGTGGCAAGCAAAAATCCCCCCAGGGCTTCCACAGTGGCACCTGGAGGCTCTGCCACCCTAACTGGGAATCAGGCCTGGAGTTTATAATTATGAAGATTAAAATTCCTAGCCTTGGAAGAACCGAAAGAATCAAAAATAACCATGTCACAACTTCTCCTGAAATAACGTACCTAGGCACAAATCGTCAGTGTTTGCTAAAACCCTTAGGTAATAGGTTGATGGAGAACTTTATAATGAATAGATCAGGCTGCTAGCACCTGAGCCCATAGATCAGTCTTAACACTAAAAGTGGGATAGCCAGACATTAAGTGTCTTCTAATATGATGCAATCGTAATTACACAGCAGCCTGGATGTAGATATAACTCCCAGATTAAAAGAAGCATGAAGGATAGAAGAATGAGTTAAATAGACACATGAGGATACATGTATTCCAGCCAAAACTGGAATATGAAAATTTTTTACAGGATAAATTAACCCTGTTTTCATTTTCAAATAAATGAATGGCATGAGGAAAAAAGGGAGAGTGGGGCTGTTATTAAAAGAGTTATGTCAACTAAATACAGTGTTGGACCTTGTTTGGATCTGTGAAGCCCTGATACCAAAACCAAAGACCTTACAAGAAAACTACAAACCAGTATCCCTTTTGAATACAGATTTTAAAATCCTCAACAAAATACTGGCAAAACAAATCCAGCAACGTAGAAAAAGGATTATATACCATGACCAAAAGAAATTTATCCCAGAAATGGTTGGTTTTACATCTGAAAATAAGTTAGTGTAACATACCACATAAATAGAACAAAGGACAAAAACCACATGTTCATTTCAATAGAGAAAAAGCATTTGACAAAATCCAGCACCCTTTCGTGATAAAAGGATTTAGCAATAGGAGTTTCTTAATAAATAGCATCTGCAGAAAGCCCACAGCTAATATCCTACTTAATGGAGAAAGACCAAATGCTTTCCCCCCTAAGATCAGGAAGAAGACAAGAATGTCTGCTCTTGTTACTTTTATACAACATCATACTTGAGATTCTAGCCAGGACAATCACTTGAGAAAAAGGAAAAGTATCTAGATTAAAAAGGAAGATGTAAAACAAACTGTTTGCCAATTACATGAGATCCTCATATAGGATATCTGAAGGAATCCTCTAAAAAAACTTTTAAAATAAACAAGTTCAGCAATGTCTCAGGATACACGATCAAAAAAACAAAAATCAGTTGTATTTCTGTATGTTAGCAATGAACAATCTGAAAATTAAGGAAATGATCCCATTTATAATAACCCCCAAAGAAAAAATACTTAAGAATAAATTGAACAGAAGTTAACTTGTACACTGAAAACTAACAAAACATTTTTGAAAGAAATTAAGATCTAAATAATGGAAAGACATTCTGTGTTCATAGATAGGTAGGCTTAATATTGGCAGTATTCTCCCAATCCCAGAGTTTCTTGTTCGCAGGTTTTTTGTTTTCTGGGGTTTTTGTTTTTGTTTTCAGAAATTGTCAAGCTGATCCTAAAATTCATATGGAAATGCAAGAGAACCAGAATAACTAAAGCAATTTTGAAAAAGAAAAAAAGAAGACTCACACTTTCCAATTTCAAAACTTACTACAAAGCTACAGTAATCAAGACAGTGTGGTACTAGAATAAGGATAGACATATAAAGCCAAGGGAATAGAATTAAGATCCAGAAATAAACCCGTACATCCATGGGCAATTGATTTCAACTAGTGTGCCAAGATAATTCAATGGGGAAACAATAGTCCTTTCAAATGATGCTGAAACAACTCTATATCCACAGGCAAAAGAATGCAGCTGGACCCCTTCCTCACACAGAAATTGACTTAAAATGGATCATAGACCTAGGCATAAGAGAACTATAACACTCCTAGAAGAAAACAGGAATAAATCTTCATGACCTTGACAGTAGTGTCTTAGATACAACACCAAAAGTACAAAGTGGACTTTGTCAAAATGAAAACCTTTTGTGCATCAAAGGACAGTCAAGAAAGTGAAAAGATAACCCACAGAATGGGAGAGAGCATTTACAAATCATAGTTGTTAATAGACTTGTATTCAGAATGCATAACCCTCACAACTCAGTAATAAAAAGACAACCCAATTTATAAATGGTTCTACTGGCCCATGAGCATGTGAAAAGATGCTCAACATCATTAATCATTAGGGAAATGGAACTCCAAACCACAGTGAAATAGTACTTGTTTGTGCACATAATCACGTACAACTTCTGTACGGGAATGTCCATGGTATTATTCATACTAGCCAAAAAGTGGAAACAACCTAAATATCCATCAGCCGATGATCCAATATACAAAGTGACACGTGCATACAGTTGAATGTTATTCAGCAGTAAAAAAAAGGATGAAGTACTGATGGATGTCACAACCTGTGTGAGCCTTGAAAACATTTTACTAAGCGAGAGGAGCTACATATTGTATGATTTTATGTGAATTGTCCAGAATAGGCAAATCCATAGAGACAGAAAGTAGATTAGTCATTTCCAGGAACTGAGGTGGAGGGATTGGTGGGCATGAATAGGGAATGACTGCTAGTGGGTACAGGGTTTCTTCTTGGGGTGCAGAAAATATTCTAACTAGAATATTTGCACACTCTGTGAACATCTAAAGACCATTGCACTGTATATTTTAACTGGATGAATTTTATAATATGTGAAATATATCTCAATAACCTGTAAAAGAAAAAAAAAAAAGGTCCCAGCCTTGGCTTTATTGGAAATGTGAACACACAGCAATAGAAATGAGGCCTCTGGGTTCAGACTATAAGAGATTGCTCATGATTGAGACTTTGATGTCTTTCCTGCAACTAGAGAATAGTTTGTTAGTACCTAGGTGGTATTTTATGGGTTCATCATCATACCGACAGAAGTGATTTATTTAAAATTAGCTGCTGAATGCTTTCCCCCTTAGAAACAAGGCATAGGTATCCACTCTTCACCACTCTTATTCAGCATGGTACTGAACATTTTGCTACGACATTAAGACAAGAAATAAAAGGGATACAGATAAGAGAGGAAGAAATAAAACAGTTCATGTTTGCAGATGACATAATGGTCCAGATAGGAAATCCCAAGGAATCTACCAAATAATAGCAGTAACAACAGTAATAATAATGAGTTCGGCAAGGGTCCCAGCCCAGGGCTCAGAACGAATGTGAGCTGGTAACGCAAATGGGATCACAGATTTAAATGTGAAACCTAATGCTACAACACCATAGAACTCAGAGGAGAAAATCTTCTGAATCTAGGGCTTGCTGAAGCGTTCGCAGGACACTAGAAGCACAATCTTTAACAGAAAGACATGGTTAAATTGTTCTTCATCAAAATTAAAAATGTTTTGCTCTATGAAAGACCCTGTTAAGAGAATGAGAACATAAACTACAGACTGGGAGAAAATGTTTACAAACCACACTCCTGACAGAGC